TTTGTCCTTTGTGTGGGTATGATCGGTCATATTGCCTCGAAGTGTTGCGATTATCGCCTAGCATAAAACTCCAATCCTGGGTTCTTTTTAGGAAATGACTTGGCATGATATTTGCTAACGATATTATTTTTTAAACTTTCTTTAGATATATATACCTTAAATATTTACGATTTGCTTTATCATATTATATGTTGACCTCATTTGATCACGGCTAGTACATATCTACATCGAAGGAACTGACTTATGATCGATCTTGGTGGGACTGATACAGTAAGTATAATAATTTCGAAACTTTTGTTACGATTATAAAATTTGGATGAGCGTTTTATTCATTGGTTTTCAATATTTTGCCGCGAATATTTTTCATCATATCGCGCATTATCCAGATGGGAAAAAAAATTTACTAGAAGAAATTGATGAAATATTCCAGGGTGATAAAACACATCCAAAAACGGAAGACGACTTCAAGAACCTAATGAAATCGCGGATTATATTTGGCCAGCTGGCACATTGTTCGCCCTTTCAATTCATAAACATAAAGATTATTGGGAAGAGTCCAAAAAATTTAATCAAGATAGGTGGATGGTTAAATGTTTTGAACGGATAAATAATTTTTCATCGTGTTTGGTGAAAGGTTGAGGATAGATGGATTAATTATTTGACGTCTTTGTTGTATAAAAAGTATGAAATTTATTTGATTTATATGCAATACTCCTTAAAAACTGAGTCAACAACCGCTTGAATTGTTCATTAAGGTTAGGTTAGAACAAGAAATTAAAAAAATTTGAAACCGTTTGCTTTTGATTTACTTCACCATTCAACTCATATTTTTTTATTTTTTAACGACTATTTTTTGAATAAAAAAAAATTTCTATAAAATAAAAAAAAAAATATATTTTACGCGTTCAGTCAATCAAAACTATATATATCATTTTTTAATTAAGTTATGCATATTATAATAAATACTATCATTTAATAAGGGCCTTTCTTGAAATTGATGGCATTTTATACGAAATTCTAAAATTCGATAAATTATGCATTAGTTTTTATGCAATGCTAAATATTTAAATGATCTCAGGAAACCTTTAAAAAGGTAAGTGTTATTCTTTGAAAAACCTAACAAAAAATTATTTTCTTCTATAAAGAAATAATTAAATTATTTATTTTACGACTCTTAATGAAGCATAAAATTTATCGATATAAGATGGATATAAAATAACTTAATATATTTAATATATTAAAAATTCGATAGTAAACTTTTATATGATTTTGATTACTAAAAAAAAATATTCGTTCTCGTCTTTGTATTAATTATATTGCCATATAAAGACATATACAGTATTCTATTTAACGAGATTTATTTTTTTCGAATATAACGAACCAAACCGAACAAATATCTTGGATGAGGCAAATTCTAGACTCCGAAAAAGCTTAATTAGTTTCTAACATTCCTTGCCCTTATCTCATACTTGACAACATCTGTATTTTACAAAGTCGCATAGTTTCTTATTTATCATAATTAACATGGAAGATCTTAAAATCTTTGAACGTGTTCTAAAATTATTGTAAACAAACAATATATATTGTCATAGTAATAAATAATGTATAATAATTAATAGCCGTGAAAATAATGTTCTTTCATTATCTAAATTCATATAACCTTCTAAAAAGAATTTTAAATGTCAATATCCAATATTTTACTTCAATAAACTCTCATTCGTATGGACAACTTGTTTGAAAAATAATTTGTTTATACTATTTTTTGAATAATCAATCCACTAGTCTAAAACCTATAAGGTAAGAAAATTTTTTTATTTTTATTTTTTTTTAAAGAAAAAAATAATTACTAATTTCCTATCTTGTTCCCTCAGAATGCACATTCAAAGTTTTAAAGGATTCAAAAAAAACTTGCTAAAGGATGAGTAAAACTAATAATTATTCTCTTCCGATCAATCCAAGGTTTGGGGATTTAACTATATCAAATATCATAAGATTTTAACGCTACATTACGAAAAATCATATTTGTTAAAATCTTTAATTATGGGCCAAATTAGTATAAGGAAATCCGCTGGAACTTTGGACCAGCCCGGACGTAACCATTTTAGGAAATTATTATCTTTAATTAAAATCAAAACCGGGAGAGATATTTGCAATTTTATAATTTTATCAAATTATGAATGATGGGTAATGAAATCATCTATTCTTCACAGAGAAAGGTGTGTTGGGTGTATTAATAAATTTGAAATGAAATTAATGAAGTAATCTTGGATATTCTTTTAAGACAAATTAAAAATTTTTTGTCTTTATCATTGTGATTGAACCCAAGAATTGATTTGTAGTGGTATCACAGCCTGACCTCGAATATACCGAACCGGAATAGAACAATATATTTTTGGACATCCATACGCATCGCATCGTTATACATTTTTATTTTAGTAATTACACCGTACCACTCGTAACAGTATCATCCGGTTTTACTGCTTTTATCATAAAATATTCTCACATTATTTGAATTAAAAGTACTTTCGTTATGACTCCTATTAAAGCTGCAATTAACAATTCATATATGTCGTTAGATCATAATCTTTATTATAATTTGGAAAATCAATTTGAATTTAGAAAAAAGAAAATTCTTGCGGATGAATCTCTTACAAAAGATGAAAAATCAGAAGCGATACGATTATTAACCGAAAATCATGATTATGGTAAGATTTTTTTTAATGAAGGAGAAAAAAGGTTATGTAAAAATTGTAAGCAAGGATGTTTAGCGACATTGTATTGTGAACATTGCATTCGAAGCTACCTAGAATCAAAAATTTTCAAATTGGACATCAGGAAATGATGAACTCGATAATTTAATAAGAAAATGTCAAATTGAATCATTTAGACCGAATAAAATAATCGAATGGATATCATATGATAAATTACAAAATATTAAATTTTTAACCAAAGGTGGATGCTCTGAAATATATTCTGCTGAATGGATTGATGGAGCATACAATGAATGGGATATTAAAGAAAGAAAATTAAAAAGATTTGGTAAACATAATTTAATTCTTAAAAAATTGGTAAATTTTGAAAGTGCTAATAGAATTTGGTTTGATGAGGTACAGTACATGTACATCTAAAATTACTTAAATTATAATTAACGTCATGACTAATTGAACCTTAATATGATATATAACATAGGCAAAATCACATTTAATCATAGGAAACAGAAGGGTAGAAATCGTTAAATGTTATGGTTTAACTCAAAATCCATTAGATAAACAATATTTTCTTGTAATGGAACAGATGGATGTTGATTTAAGAACATATTTACAATTATATCACTGTCAACTTACGTGGAATGATAGGATTAAAATTGTTTTTTATATAGTAAAAGCACTTATGAGTATTCATATTGAAAATGCAGTTCATAGGGATTTACATTCTGGAAACATATTGTATTTACAAGATAATGATTATTGGTATATTAGCGACCTTGGATTTTGTGGTCCTGTTGATAAGCCAGTGAGGAGATTCTATGGAAATCTCCGTTATATTGCTCCTGAAGTTATCAATGAAAAAGAATACACTAAAGCGTCTGATATTTATAGTATTGGGATTCTCATGTGAGAAATTTCATCTGGACGATCACCATTCAATATTCATGAAAATTATTATCAACTTGCAATGGATATTTTATATGGTAAAAGACCAAAAATAATACCAGGTACTCCTTTAGAATAAAAATTTGATGGAACAATGTTGGAATGAAGATCCATTACAAAGGCCTAATATAGATACTTTGCGAGAAAAGATTGGAGAAATTTGTAAATCATATATTCAACATTTGCCAACAAAATTCGAAAAAGATGAAACAAATAAACTTTATGTAGCTCCAATAAATAATGAATTTTTTACAAGTAAAGTTTTTGATTTTGATGATTTTTCTAAATTAAGAAATTCAGAAGGACAAGAAGGTATTTCTTAATATATTTCTTTTTTTAAAAAAAAATTTACAGGTTAATAATCTCTCTCTATAGTCATATTACATTGACTATATTGGAGTTTTTTTTTTTTTTTTTTTTTTTTTTTTTTTTTTTTTTTTTTTTTTACAATTTATTAAAACAGTATAATATAGTTATAGAATCAATTATATTGATTACTAATTAAAAATAAAATTATTAATTCTAAAGCATTTATTAGTAAATCATATGACTTTAGTATTCCTAACAATAGTAAGTATTAATTTTAAACTCTTAAAGGAATTATTACAAACTGTTTATGAAAAAAAACAGATATTCTCCAAATATTTTCTTTTAATATTTAATTAATTTTTTCACTTTTTTAGTTGATGAATAAAATATTTCAAGTAATAATAAAAAAAATAATAAGTATTTTTAAAAGTAATTAAATATTTTACTTTTAAATTATTATATATATATATTAATTATTTAAATCATAATTTACTTTTTACCTACTTTACTAGTCTTATAAGGTTTACTAATAAATATCAAATCATTAGTATTTTATATCATGTATGTTATTTAAATTATTAGTTCAAAATATAAGCGAAGAGACTATATATTTCTAGATATATATTGACATAATATGTCTCACATTTTTCTACTGTACTAAAAAATTAAGCTGATACATAATCAGTTACTTATATCAATCAAATTTGCTTTGAACTCAACAATGATTTTTATTCCTTAGTTTAATATAATTAATGATATTTATAATTAGCAAAACAATAGTTTTAAATAATAGTTTAATAATAATAAGCTAATTTTACTAAATATTTTAAAAATAAATTTATTAAACTTATTTAATTATTAAAAATGCTATTATTATTTATTATTATATATAGAATAATATTAATTTAAGAATATCAAAAGATTTTATAATTTTTAATTTCTAATCATTAATCTTCTTGAAATAAAAGATTTATATTAAATAGATTAAAAAATATAAATATTTAATTAGTGTTAAAATATAATAATAATTAATTTTAAAATTTTAACTAGTTGTAACTTCTTAATTATAGTATTATTTTTAATTAAAATTATATAATTAAATAGATATTTTGTAATTTAAAAAATTTAAAAGTAATTAATTTAAAAGATTCAATATTTTCTTTTGTATTTCTTTATTATAAATCTTTAATAAATTACAATTTTTAATAAAAGAATAGTGAAAATGATTTTTAATAGTATGTTCAAAATTTATTATTTATATTACTTTTTTTTTTATTTATTTATAAAACTAATATTAGCAGAAATTTTTTTACCATTTGATAAATATTTAATATATCATATACTAACTTAATCCAGTTTAATATGCTCTTGATATACTAAAGTAATAACAATTAAGTTTTTTAAAATTAAATTAAATTATAATTTGAATTTAAATTTGATTTGATTTTTTAAATTGAATCTAATCAAATCAAATTAGATTGAATATTTGATTAAATCAAATTAAATTAAATTAAATTAAATTAAATCAAATATAAAATTTTTTTAATTTATATAATGATATATTAAAATAAAGATATTTTAAAGATTTAATTAAGAAAATCATTAGTAAAAATCACTAAAAAATTTCAAAAATAGCTTTTATAAGTAAGTTTAGTAACAGGTAAATTTTTATTAAAAAATCATAGTAAAACTATTTTTTATTTTCAGTTTTATTAAGAAACTTAGTAATAATCATCATAATGTGTAAAATCTATGTATATAATGTAAATATATATATATTAAATTTTGTGTGCACATATTATATAAAATAAAATATGCATAAATTATTACTAAAATAGATAAATTATATACAAAAAAGACATTTTACATAATAAATTATGGTTTTCTTAATTTAATAATAATTTATCAACTTATATACATAATTTTTAATTTAGATTTAATAATACATAGAATTCTTTCTCCTACTTTTCCAGTCACATTTTTAAAAAAAAATAAAAAATTTAAATGATCATTTTTTTAAATAAAGATAAATAATAAATCCATTATAAAGAAGGTTTCCTATTATTGTATTCTACCTTCTATTTTTACAAGAGAGAGTTATGACTTGTAAATGCGTTACAAAGAATAAACATATCAAATTCATTTTATATACTGCTTCTTCTACTCAATAAGAAACTATTAGTTCTTTATCAATTTTTTTGACTTCTTCAACCTCAATAGTAATTTCTAATAACTTTGACATAGAAATTATCAACAAAATTTTTAGTTCATCAAAAAAACAAAAAATACTAAATTTGAAGTTTTCAATATTTCTAAAATTGTTATTACTAACCATATCTTATATATTGCTTTAATCTTGAATAATAATAATAATAAATTGAGATTTCTACTCGAAAGACAATGTTAAACTAAAAGTTTTCTCAGTATATATACATGTTTTTCAAATAAAAGCATAAAAAATATTACAATAAAAATTTCTAAAATTAATAGATAATAGCTCAAAAGATAGTTTTTATATAATAATAATGGGAGATTTCACATATCTGCTGATTTGCAAAATTAACAAAATTAGTCTATAATTTAACAAAAAATTGTTTCACAAAATAATCATATTTGTATTACATGATTATGTGATACAGAAGTGACAAAGATATCAAGAAATTACTTCAACTTTAGTGATAAAAAAAATTATTTCATTTGTAAGTTTTTTCTATCAACTTCCTCATCACTTTTTCATTACTTTTTTGTTAGATAAACTAAAAAAATTTGTAGCAGTTATTTTATAACTAGTAAGTAAAAGAAAAATATCAATATTTAATATTCATGCTTTTTTTATTTATTTTTAATTTTAGTTCCTTTTTTTTTACAAAATAAAAAGTAAGTTATTATTTAAAATTTTAAAAGTTTATTTTTATTTTTTAATAAACTAATTTCATACCAATTAACTTTAATTTTTAAGATTTTTTTTGTTAGTTTTATTCAAATAAAGTTTTAAATAGCAAATAAAATCTTTTAAATAAAATAAAAAGAGCTTAAAATTGTTTGTAAAAATAATTCTTTGATAAGAAATATAATTTATGATGGGTTTTATGTAAGTGATAATATTATTAATATCTTGGCATACACATATGCTAATCACATAAGTTTATATTCATTTGAAAGCCCAGAACGTACTCTATCTAAGCGAAAAATATTATTCAAATTCAATCACTACATATAGAGATATTAATGATCAAAGACAAAAGTGAAAAATAAATATATTGAATGCATTTATTCAGTAACCAGTAATTGAATTCATGCGATTTTGGATTTGTTAAATAGGTCTTGATTTTCTCTTTCTAATGAATATAAATATATCTGTCTAGCATATATACACGTTAAGTTATTTACAATTTTATCATGATAGTTATATTTTATTTTTTTAATTTTAAAAAGTTTAATGATATTATATAAAAAATATAAAACCATATAGCTAGGGTTGTGAAGTACAGTATTAGTACAATAATTAGTACAATTAGTACAGTTAGTACATTATAATTATTATATAAAAATTAGTACAAGTACAGTGGTAATTTTATATATTACATACAAAATTCCCAACCCTGCATATAGCTAAATTCATTTTATTTATGTCAATTAATATAGATCTATTATTTTCATATGACTTGTAATTTGTATTTGTTTAATAAAATTAGTTTTTGAATATAAAAACCTAATTCCTTAAATCAGCTCATATGAATGCTAATTTATTAAACTCAAAAATATTATCAACTCTAGTAAAACTATTTGTTTTACAAAATCTAGTTCCTAAGTTCTTATATTATAATATTAATTATTTTTATTTATACAAATCAAATTATAAGAAGTTATTGCTTATTTTTCTAAGATTCAACAGGAATCTTAATTAAATTTGAATTAATAATATCAAAAGAAAGATTTCTAATCTTAGTTCTATAGATACATCCAAATGGTCTAATATTCTAACAACATTTATAATTATTATAATTTTGATTATCTGAAAGATTTATTTTTCAATCTTGCTAATATAAATAATTTAAGGATAGAACTAAAAACTGCTATTTTATTAATTAGCAAGTCTAAGATTCTATATAAATAGGTTTTATCATACTAACAAATTTATTACCCAATAGAAGTTTCTAAATATTATCATATGCTCACAAAAATAAAAAGGATATTATTAAAATTTCACTCTAAATAACTTCTATAATTTCTTTAGCCAATAGATAAAAAATGAAAAAAAATCTTTATATTATTTCTAAAATAGTTAAAGAAATAGAATATTTAATAGATCTACTTTCTTTTTTTATTGACTCTTTAAATTATCTATCAATCAAAAAGATATTAAACAGCTTTATAAAACTTTATATAAAATCACTAAATTTGATAATAAGAAATTTAATGATTTACAAATAAAAGCTCTTATTAATCAACAATACGATCAATTAAGTTTATAACCTGAAAAAATAATAAATTTTATTTTACAAAGGAAAAAAAGAAGAATACTTTAGATAAAGTTTTTATTGATAATAAAAATAAGTCTAAACAATTATATTAAATCTAAAAGAAATTAAAAAAGTTCAAGAGAATTAAATAATTAATAATTTTATAATATAAATCTAAAGAATATATATCTAAAAAAATTCATAAAAATATCATGCAACTACTTATCTATAATGAATAGAGTTCTGTTCTTTCTCATTTACTACTAAACAAGATTGCTAAACCCTCAAGTATTTATAACGAAATGTTTCAATATCTAGGTGATAGATTTAAACATCTTATCTAATAATTGATTGTATACATTTTACCATAGGTGATATATTATTAATGTATAATTCTTGTAAACTATGACTGTTAGACAAGGTGTTTAAGTGTTGATTTTTGTTAATTATGCAGAAATCTTATTACTTTATAAGTTTACTTTATGACCAATTTTTAAAGAGATGTTTATATAAGTATTTTATAGATAATAATTTATAGATTTACTAAATAA